TGCTTTCTTTAGACAAGGACCCCAGGTGCTTGTGTAAGTAAATCACAAATAATGAGTTGGTCGAATTAGCGTTTATTCATCGGACAGACTTAATAAACAACATAATGGAACTCAAAGCAAGGCTGGAACAAGTACACTGTGAGCTGTTAATTCCGACATGTTTGAAGCGATTATTGACAAACTCCAACCCACGCAATTATAAAAGCTGTTTGCTGTCGTCGCCTTTGAGAGAAACAACTAAAATCGACTGAAAATAAAGGATGCCAGTCCCACAGATAAAAATAAACTTAAGTAGAAAATCGAAACCCCACATAGCCAGCTCTGTAAAGTGTTTAATGTCAATGTTGAATCTTCAGTAAACATACAAGAAATACTTTAAATTATAAAAGACAGCCGCGTTGCTTAAAGTGTCTTTTTAGAAATGAAAAGTGGCAACAGAATGAAGACAGGAAAGTAAAATTACTTCTTGTGTAATGTTGCTGATGATATAAAGAAATTCCTCTTGTTACGACAGCCCGATCCTTTTTGAAAGACACTGACATCCCAGGGGAATTCAGTAAGTACTACTGTAAGTTTGTGAGAGCAGCGTTCTACCATTGTATAGACAGCAGTACGATTGAGTCTTTGAGACCCAGAGTCACTGGGACTGTCCCTATTTCAGAAGACCTCGAGCTGGTCGGGTTAACCCTAATCAGGAATAGCAATTAGAGGATAAAGGAAACTAGTTCAGAGCAGTACGGTGGCGCTGCAGTTAGCACTGTCACCTCACAGTACTGGGTTAGTTTCTTGAGGTGCTGTCTGTGTGGAGTTTGCATGTTCTCCCCAAGTTTGCGTGGGTTTCCTCCAGGTGCTCTGGTTTCTTCCCACATTCCAAAAGACATGCTGGTAGATTTATCGGCTTCTGGGAAAAGCGTCCCTGGTGCGCGTGTGTGCGTGACAGCGTCTATCTACCCTGCAATGGGCAGGCTTCCCATCCGGGGTGTACCCTACCCTGCGCCCAGTGCTTATCTGGATGGGCTCCGGCTCCCCCGCGACCCTGAGTTGGATAAAGCGGTCCAGGAAATGAATAGAGAACTAAGAGAAAGAGGAAAAATGTGCTTTTCCAAGAAGAGCAGAAGTGCAGGTGTCGACTGGGCATCTCATCTACCCTTCCACAGTCTACCATCCTGTGTGCAGGTCTACAGTTAAACCAGAGTGAACTAACAGGGCAGTTCTGCGGGAGCTGTGAATTGTGGATATAGAGAAAGCTACAGGACTGACCTACTAGATCTACACTTTTACTGTCCAGCGGTCCTTTGCTGCCATGGACTTTACAAGTTCCTTAGAAGACCTGCAGAGTGGCCCTCCAAGGTCAGGAGTGGGTTTCATAACCACAAGGTCATTATTCCAATTTGCAGCTGTTATTATTACTGCTAACAACAACAAACCAGTCCACACGAATGGACATCCAGTTGCAAAGTCTCAGGGAAGCCGTCTAAGATACTCTCAGGAGCAGACATTTTGTTTTGTTTGAAGCTCAACGAAAGAAAGCTGTTCAAATATTTGACTCCCAGGCTCACATTTTTTCTGTAAAGTTTCACTTTAAAGCAACAAGGAACACCGCCAACTGGAATTTGGAGAAATACTCTGAGACGTGTGTTATTCTTCTAAACGATACTAAGATTGCTGGGTGAAATACACGAACCACTAAAATCTGCCCTTGTTCAGTTGGAGGTACAGATTCCACAAAAACATACATTACAGTACAATGTCTACTTTAAGCGCATTAAAATTCCATAATTGCAGAATTAATCCCTTTGTTTAAAATACACAGAACATTTCCAGACCCAATTTCCTTTGCTATGTTCTAGTAAAGTGTCAAATGAAGAGACCAATGAAAATTTAATTTGACTGGGTTAGATTCTTGCAGTGCAGTTTTATAATCTTAAAATCACAATATTTCTAAACTTCTTGGCAGGTAAAATCCCTCATTAAATAGTAAAGGGTATTTATTATATCACAACTGTTAATGCCCTCCCCAATTATTATTCATTTTCTGGGGCTATAAATAGGGAAAGGTGGAGTCTCGAACTCTTCTGCACTATTATCATGTTCTCTTTCTGTATTATGGGTAGTTTTGTGCGGGAACATTTACAACCCCCTATACTGTTTATATAATGGTGTTTTCGCTGTCATGAATTATTTGTCATTAAGCATGATGTCAGTGTTTCTGAGCAAAAAAAAAGCAACTTTTAAAGTTCAAGATTCTTTGGTTTAAAAGAACTGTTTTCAGATTCAATTAAAAATAATATTTCTAAGCTGTACAACTAAAAAAAGAAAACGCTTACATAGCTGAAACATCAATCTGAATTATATTTTCAAAATACTTAATGAGAAAAAGTTTATAAAAAGAAAGAAACTAGAAAGAAGTCATATAAATGGATCTGTGGAAATAATTGGTTCATAAATAGTAGCATGAAACGTCTAATGAACAGATGCATGTAAACCCCAAACTACAGGAAGACACTGTATCTTCTCATGTGCTCTGTGGAACGAGAGCAACAAATTGAACAAAACCTAGCGTGAGCATTATATTTTAGATTATGCACATCCTTGTAAATGAACTAATTCCTGTGTGCCGTTACAGCTTAATGATAAATGTCCTGATGATAAAATGTATTTGTTTGTATTATGTCCTTTTATGTTACGATTTTATTTCTTACTACTTACCTTAACTCTTTAAAGTATATTTTAATTTTTACTGGTGTGGGTTAAAAATGAAACTAAACTAATTTATTGTTTGTAATCGCACATACATTCTGCATTCTATTGTTTCAAATATTTTTCTTTCATTGCATGACTTCTGTAAGCCTCACGGGATCTTGTGCATTAACTCGACAGTTCTGCGTGACTTATTATTGTGAATACAGACTTTCAAATCCCCTTGCAAATAAACAAAATGAAACATTTATGCATATAATCTGATTCACAGAGAATAACATATCTCAACGTCTAAACAGAATTAAATTGAACTGAAAATCAACAAAGCGTTTTTGCTCATCACAGAATGCATTCATCGACTGCTGGCCTCCCTGAACAAAGATGCAGACATTTTTAATTTCGTACTTGTTTGTTTAATAAAAGTCAGTTTCTGTGTGCTATCAGCAACAAATACACTAAGCTTCACAATACTGACTCGAATATGAAGAACATCATTGAAAATTGTGCTCATTAACTCTTATTAAAAATAACTGGATTTAAAATTTAGATTAACAGTTTGGGGAAACAAATTATTATCGTCTGTATTATCGTATTACTATACTTACGTAAATAATTGATTCAAATGTAGATTAAAACACATTTTGAGAGAAACAACTCATAAATAATGTGCATGGTTCACGTTGCTAGACAAGTAGAGAATTAATTTTTTTTATATTCGTTTTTATTCTTATGGTGAACAACACTACATTAGATTCAGCAAAATCTTTTTTAAAGGCAATAATCCTGGGAAATTAGAAATGAATTAAAAGGTTTTTCACGTACTGAACTGAATGCATTCTGGTGTTTTTTTTAAAATTAATATGAAGCAGAACAGTTCTTGCAAAGGCTTACTGTCACACTTTTGGGCTTTTCGTTTTACTTTGAATAAATCGGAAGAGAAAATTTATTTTTTCGCCATACAACTGCCCTGAGAAAAACTGTGCAATTAAGGCTCTGTTTTCTGCTTCACAATCTGATGTTTGTGAATATAAAACAGTGTGACCCATTTTATGCAATCTGTTCCTTTTTGTTTGGAGTTTTCCTTTTCTTTGACAGACCAGCCCGAAAGCCCACTCTCAACATGATAATACCAGTTGAAAACGATCTCCCCATCTAGTCCCCACTCCATTATTAGGTAGGTCGAACTGTGTGGCACTGTCCTGCAATCTATATGCTGAGCCTGTCTGCACTCAGTCCACCCCTCCCAGGGGTATATAGACCATATACCCATATAGGGGTGTCAGGATGTAGAGATAATGGACAGGTGTGGGTTCCATTCTCAGATGGTCACTGCTGGTGTACCTTTGACCTTTGAGTACAGTATATCAGCTGAGTTGCTCTAGGAAGAAATACCCAATGGTGTAAATGGGCACAGATATACAGTAAATTGCCTTGAGTTGAAGCACTAACCAAATAACTTCAGTGATGATCTATACTTCATACTCTGTCAGATGTCCGCCATGTCTTTCAGGTGTTTAGGGTGCTGTGCGTGCCCCAAAGGCACTTTTAGACATCATATACAGCGCATTCGTGTACAATGGGACTAACCTTACCTTGAGCTGGATAAAGGCACCATATGAATGAAGTGCGTATTATTATTTAGACAATACCAAAGTGAGAGGGGAAGGCGTTTTACATCCCTTTGAGTGGGAATGCACCTCAGCATAATTTTTTTTGTCTTTTTGTCAAAGTCTTTTGTGCGCAACCGATGTGCCGACTAATTAAAATTTGATGGCAGAACATTAAAGTCCAGTTCAATTTAAAAAATAAAAAGATCATTTAATTTGCAAGTTACAAAGAAAATTGGTTCTATAAAAAATGACAACAGAGAGATATCTTAACCGTTAATGGGGAGCAGGGCAATTGTACAGCAGCTGGGTCTCAGCACAGCTGCTTCACAGACAGAAAAGCACAAACTGTGTCTTCTGTCACACAACTGACAAACAGACTTTGCTGCTTTGAAACTAGCACTAATAGGACTGTTATTTTCCTGGCTTGTTTTCCACACAAGTTCGGCATAATTTTCCTAATGGAATAACAACTTGTGAGCCAGTGACTTCCAAATGATCATGGGCCCCGTCACACGCCTCTCACATTATTCTTGTAGTTAAAACGTTCGGCTCTTTGATTTAAAACTAACTTGTGTGTCACTACGCCAAGGGGCATGTCGTGGGCATTCATTGTTTAGGACCCGGCTGGTTTTTCGGCCTTGGCCGCAGGTGAAAGATGGAAATTGGCTGAAGGAAAAAAAAACCTCTCACCTTTGCCCAGTTACTTGGCTGATGTGTTCATCTAGGGTCATAAAAATCCCGTTTTTTCTTCAGTCAGACGGCCTTTCTTGTGGAATTCCTTTGTGGATGAGAATGGTGCCCTTTTCTGTCGCGCGGCAGTAGCAGTGAAACACTGAGCTCAGACACGTCGAGCACGAGTTGTTTAGGTGAGAAAGCAGTGTGGGCTGACGACTGGATTTGTTTGTCTTCTCAGAAACCGTAACCTACTTCCTCACCCCTGTCTAACTGCCGAGGGCGAGCTGAAAAAAAAATACAAGCAAGTACGACAGAAAAATGTAGCGTTTTCCATTCACCTGCCAGTGAGCTGAAACCTTTATTATTTTATTTACTTCAAGGGGACTGAGACAAACAAACAGGCAGTATGCTGAAGACAAATATCCCGGCCTTTCAAGGCTCATAATGTTGTCCAAAAATATTTTATTTCCTGCTATTATTTATTTTTATTTCGCGTCTTGTTAACGATTGCTTTCCTCAGTCTTGTAATGTTTGTGTTTGCAATTACACTGTTGTTTTTCATTAAAAAAAAAACCCCAACAAGCCCGCTTCTTGTGATGATGGTTTTGTTATGTTGATGTTTTCTTGCTGGGGATGTCCGCTTCAAAGACCTCTGGCTGCTGTATGAAATACAGACATGAAGAGGTGGCAGACCAGAGGGATTCTTTTAACCAGTTTAGCTAAATGCTAGAGCAGCATCTATTTATTTTCTGCAGGACCTGCATCTACAACATAGTCCTTTGGAAGATTATACAGTCCTCAAATAATTGAAGTCACAGGTCCTTTTCGTCTTATCCTGGGCTTGATATTTCAGGCCTAAAGGTACACTCCTTATTGAATTTCCAGTCCATAAAGTATGCCAACCTGATGGAAGTAGACCCTGCTTCGATATGACACTAAGGCTGTTGGCTGATCTTTCTTCTGATTCTGTTGTGGGTTAACCACATTCAGATGTGGACTGAAATCCTCAAGATAGTTTTCTTTAGGTGCACCAGAAACATGGAAGGAAGTTGTGTGATTTTTGCATCTTGCATTGCAATCTGTGTCTGTAGCTCTATTGCATCCTCCTTTGGTCTGCTGCGTGTGAAGAAGCAGAGGTGGAGGACAACGTCCGCACCTGGGTTTCTCTTGGGTGGACAGCTGAAATGTGCTGGTTTGTTGAGCTGGGCAGTCAAACCTCAAAGAGAAGCAAAGTGGAAAACAGCCAAGAAACCTAAATATTTGAATGCTGTTGGGTTAGCATTGTAACTGTCTTTAATGTAGGTGGAGACATACTCTGCTATGAAGAGTGAGGCCCTTGATTGCGACAGGTCAGTACTAGCAAGGATTGTGGTTAAGAGCCACTATAGGGCATTAGGGCCTCTATTATTTGTAAATAGCTTCACATGGATGCATTAATTCATTAGATAATTGGAGAAGGGCTGAGAGACACATTCTCACATGGGACTAGTTTAGTATATAAAGGGAGTAAAAGGAATAATTGGGTTGGTTAAGAGTTTTGTTAAACTAATGTCTCTTTAGATGATATTTGTGTGTCCCTCTGTGATTTTCCATGTGCTTGGGCCTCATAAGCCACCTGCTGAGAATATAGGCCTGACAGACTTCTCTAACTGCCTTTAACCACAAGAGTGAATTTTAGTCTCAACCTTATTGGCAACAAGCCTTTTCACAGGCAAAAACTACAAACGGCTAAATGACAAAAGGACAATACTTTGCAAACAAGTGTGCGACAGATGTTTCCGTTCTTCCCGATCAGAGATTCTCCAAGCACTTGACACTGCTGTTCCAGCACAGCAGCCACCCCTGGGCTGGAACATGGCAGCCTGTCACTGGCAGCACATCTGACCACAGCTGGAGCAGAAGGATGACTTCAAAGGGGACCAGAGGGGGGAAAAAAGGCAAAACAAAACCAGGGTGGGGCAAAGTGAAGGAGGCTGGAACTGATTTCCCTGGAATGGATGTGGTTCTTCACACCAGGGCTGGACTTTCTTGCTCTCACTTCTTTCGTCCTCCTTCAAAAAATCAGCCTGATAATAAAGGCCCTTCGATCTAAAAAAGCTGCAAATCAAATTCCTGAGGAAAGATGCGCCTCATCACTTCCTCTCCTTGGCACTATGTTCTTGGACGTATTGAAGGCAGAACCACGCTGCAGCATCGCGCTAGGGAGACAACCTTCTCGCGCAGCGGATCCCAGTCCTGGTTCCTGGTGACCCACACAACTGAGGGTTTGTGTTCCAGCCGAGCCCTCGGTTACACAGTCAGACCCTTCATTGACAAGAAGAAGATTTCTTGAGACTCTTTATTTTCCCCAGTTCTTACAATGGTTGAAGCTCCAGCGTGTTTAAGTGAAATCAAATCCCGAACTTGTGATGAGAAACAAAACACAGATGTTCAATTGAAGGAGCATCTTGGATCCAGCAAGGCTTCAGTTCTCTAATGACGGTGGGCTGGAATGAAAACCAGGAGGTGTGGGGCTCACCAGGACCAGGACCAGGACTGGGAAGCACTGTCCTCAGCACTGTGCTGGTTTGTGTTTTTGGCCAGGCATCCCAGTCAGTTTTATTGCCCGGCCAACTCTGCCCATTGAAAATGACAATACCGATGGGAAAAAAAAAACTTAAAGCAATTGCTCAGGGCTTCTCTGGCTGATGAGGGGCTGGTTTTCTTCCCTCCCAGGAAGAATTACTTCCACCAAAACCACTCGGCATGCTTAGGGGTCTCCAGTCTCAGTAGCGGTTCAAATCTTCTAACAGCTCCCAGTTGCTGTTTTAACTGAGGTGTTAAAGGGAGCAATTGTGTAATTGTTTTTTAGGTGCTGCTCTGGACTACTGCTAGCACATCCTGCTCCCCTACCTTTTCCCCGGAGCGTTCACACATAGGTCAGTGTGAGATTTCCTCCCACAGGCAGTCTTATTAGCCCCGAGAGTGAATGTGTTGCTGGTGGATCTCGTCGGCACGTTTTCAAAGCTATATTTTGTTTTGCTCAGGCATTGCTGCTGGGCACGTAGTTACAGTAAGTGTCCCCCACACAGGAAAGAAACTTTATTCCATCAAACAAAGGGTATAAAAATAGAGAGAGGCTATGAGTAACTTTAACCAGATTTAGAAAAAGCGGTCTATTTGGAAGCTGATGACTACGTTAGGATGACGAACAAAAACGAAGAGGCACGAAGTGGCATCTGACAAAATTAGGGAAGTTAATTGCATGTCATTTGCAGTGTTTTTGTTCCACCGAATCCAGTAAAACCGTGGTACAGTAATGTATGGAATACGGTGATAAAGCGCTCAAGTGACAACGAGGTTCCATTGCAGCAGCTCCACACAAGCGCCCATTACGCCTGTGCTTTCAGTGTCCCAGTTAACGGCCATTACCCGTTTCAAAGCTCGTCCCTAGTTACTCAGCCGCACGTTTCAGAGACGTATTTTATGACACATACGCAACGATACGCTCTGGGTGCCTCTTTTTTTATAATTTACCAGTACTGCCAGCGATGTTTTTCCAAATATATAAACAAGTCCAGGCTTGAAACAACAACACCACCACCTACAAAAACGACTCACATTCTTGTAGTGCAAATCAGTCACGTCTAAAGCTACGAAACGGGGTCTGTCCCCTTGCATCGATGACAGCGTAAGTCTTGTTCTTGTCAAGCGCATCGGGATCTTTCCGTTGGGCAGAGAAAGGGTGACGTGAGGAAGATGAACGGTAGAGGGCGCCCTAATTCAAGACACGGGCTGAAAGGCAGTCATCTACTTTCTTATTTAATTACACGAGGTCCATTTTAATAATAACTACAGTAACACGCACTACGGACAGAGTTCTGTTGAAACAGGCTTATGAGTCAGACCTTGGTGACACATTGAGTCATGTTGGGGTTTTTTTTTTAAGTTAAAATCTCCAATTCAGATTTTTTCCTCCGTGGCTAGGAATTGATAAAAGCAATTACGCATTGCAAGTACCTATGTCTGTTTAAATAGAACAATTGCATCATTATTGCACCTACCTGTGTTGTATTTTGGCAGTCCATTAAAAATACCCTGGGTTAGAGTGTCTCCTAATTAATAAATGAAATCGCCAGGTTTTCAGGCACAATTGATCACCCCTAGGACATTGGCACTTTCTTCATCCACAATGTCCTCTGCCTCAGGTGTTCGCCATGCTGTCCAAGGCACGCCATCAGCGCCTTACAAGGTGCAATGCCTTACCAGCGACTCACCGCGGTCCTCCGACCCACAGATGTCGCTGTTGGGTGGTAAGCCGAGGGAATTGCTGAGGCCTCAGGCCCACCTGATCCCGCGTCACCTGTCCTGAGCTGTTCTTGCAGAGCTGAGACGTCGTTATTTCTACGTGCACCGTGCCTTATCGCAGTACCAATGAGGTTATCACAAAATCCCCTCGAAGCAGATGTTTATTTAAAAGCCCAAATCAAATTTAAATGTTCTTCAGAAGGATGTATATTTTGGAATGGAAATATACACAGGCGTATTATTATTTAATTAAAAACGTGTATTTGCCGAGACGCTCAGCGGTTTTCGTTCCCAAGTCTACTTTACAGCTGAGGTAGATGGTTGTGTTGGAAGCTGATCGTCTGTCATGCAAAGTGTTCTGCACATTTGAAAAGGAGCTGTATAGCTGGAGATCTGAACGTAACCTCGTTGTCCGTTGTATGTTTTGGTACCGGTAGGAAAATGTGATGTTACCGGGAAAAATCGCCATTACACCGGTATGACGTGAGCACTTTTATTTCCCTCTGTAATTACACTGTGTCCTTCCTGGTGTCTTATTACAGAAACCAGAAATGTGAACTTTGAACAAAGGGCCACCCAGTTAAAGGAAGTCACTACAACCCAGTCTAGGATATTGTGATCCCAATATTCCAGCTGTACACCTTGATTGTTGATTTGAACCCCACATTCAACAGTTCATTTATAACCAGGCCCTTATGGCTTTCAGTTCTGGGAGTGATGTCATTGAAACCCTGGTGTAACTTGTTCAATTAACAGACCTTCAAGCCGCGGAGTCTGTCTTGAAATGAACAGCAGCCAACGATAGGGTCACCAAGAACTGGGAAAACATCTATCCTAACTAGCAAGTGCACCCTGCTGCAAACTTTCATCCTTTACTGTCTGGAAAAACTGTTGAAAGGCAGAATGTTTCACAGCTACGACGAGCATTAGAACAAAACTGAAATCAATCCACTTACTGTCTGCAGACACCCAATGCTGGGACTCCACTGGATGAAACAAAGAGGGCTCTAGGTAAACGCAAAGTCACCATTAGGCACTGACTCTGTCAGGTGGCTTGAGGGTTTGATTAATGTGGGTCTAAGTCAAACTTAATTAATTTTGCAATCCCTTCAATTATTACGTGAAGCCATTGGTACGATTTTTTTCTGGAAGACTGGAAATTTTAAACCCTAACAGGAGAAGCTAGCCGATTTTGTAAAGGGTTTGAAATGTTGGGCTTTCATTGTGAGTTGGGGCATCCCAATTCTTTAACTTGTGACCCCAGTGTCTGTGGGTTTTACTGGTGCCAGTGACCTTAGTGTTTGTGGGTTTTACTGGGACCAGTTACCCCAGTTTCTGTGGGTTTTCTGGTGTCTGTGGCCCCAGTTGCTCTCTGTGGGTTTCCTGGTACCAGTAACCAGGGTGTCAGGTGACCTCCACCCAACCTAAATTTTAGTTACTTAATTGGACCTCTGATTGAACTACTTATGTGCCACACCTCTGCTCTTCTCCAGTTTAAAAACTGCAAGAATATATTACCCAAAAAACGGTCTACCTATTGAGTAAGCAATTTATAATCTCCTAGAGAATTGTTTTTTTCTCCCTAAGAGGTTTAAAAAGAAGCATTCTCTGCAGATTCAGTTAAGAATAAACCCTTTCCCCCTTCTTCAACAAGAACTGGGAAGCCTTGGTGAATGTTTTCACTGGAATTATTAAAAGAATATTTGTGCTCCCTGTATATCATGTCTGGACGCTGAGCGTCGATTCCTGCTCTCTCTCTCTCCCCGGCCTTGGCGGAATTCCTAGCGCGAGGGAGAGTTTGGGGGCCGCTTCCCTGCACGCGGTGCCGCTGTTTTTACTGCTCACTTCCTGCTCTCGGCCTCAGAAGCTCGCTCGGCTCCAGACAGGCAGAGCTGCTCCGGTCTTGGCGCTGTGCGTGGAGGAGAGCAGAGCGGCGATCTGTCCAGGCGAACGGAGCAGACTGTAGCTTTGGCGTAGGGACTGTAGCAACCTGCTGCTCCAGAGAGGACTGAAGACGAATAAGGTGCACGCAATTAATTTCCCCTGTTGTGTTAGCGACCTAGATTGCTGTCAGTAGATAATAATAAAACATTTAAAATGCATTTTTTTGATGAGTTGGTTAAAAGTGTTAGGATACGATGCTGGTTTGTGACAAACACATAAAACATTTTGTTTCACAGTGTTACGGTAGCTTTTGGTTCTGAACTTTACGGGTGTCGTTGACAGTATTTGTAGTTATTTTCCACTGCTGTGTCTCAAAGGCTGTAGCAATATCACTGCAAGTCACAAAGCTGGCAAAGTTTAGAACTGGAATTTAAGTAAATATTATGCTTATATTTGGGGATTTTACTATCGCTATGGAACCGTCTGTGGGCAACTGCCTTAGAAAAATAAGGAATACCATTTTGTACTCTGAAGTGCTCGTTGAATAGCTAAATGTTGACATACTCTACGAATGCGTTTAATATTAAAAATGCATTTATAATCTGAAATATCTGTCTCCAGCGTTGTATAACTGATGAAAAGTCACGGTTATTATATTTTTGAAAACGGCTTTTTTTCCGCATTTTACAATATTGCATTAAAATTGTCTTCGAGATATGGCCTCTGTATACAGTACAATCGCATGCGATTTATGTGTATTTCTTGACGACTCGATACTTTTTTTCCAAACGACGAGATCCCGAATGAATAAAAAACTGACCCTGAAATAATGGGGGTAAAAAAAACCGGTGCGGAGAAAAACTGATTGACTTCTACAATAGTGCCATTCATCTGGGGTGGTAGATGTCTGTGACTTGCTGAGACCTCGCACACACAAAAGTTGAATTTAATTAGCGGCGCATAATTGTGTGCGCGCTGCCAGGCAGTCTGGGTCACGTGGCGCCGCTCCAGCGCGGGCGCGCGCCGGCATGGGAATGGGAATGGGAACCGTTCGGGATGAACCCGCCGACAGACCGGGCTCTCCTGGTGCGGGAACTGCGCCGGCACACAACCGCCTCCGTGCGACCGCGGCTGTGCAGAGAGGGTCCTCGTGCGCAGAGCTGCAGCGTGGCGCAGCGGACGGCACCCCACGCGTGCAAAGCGCACGGAAATGATCCACTGGGTTAAGCGGTTTGGGGTTTGGGTGTGAACGTCACTGTCCGACGACTGGGCCTGTGGCTGGACTGGAGGGTGGCGGGTCCACATCGTCTCCGTCCTAGGTTTGAATTGCTTTCGTGTAACGGGTCGAGTGTGTTTTTATTGTCAAACGCTTCAAACGCACATTGAGCTACTAAGGCGAGGTAAAACGGCGGTAAATTAGAGGTGTCGGTATTGTAGATCACGAAAAAATCGTGCATACTCATGGCAAAGAATCATGGCAAGACTATAGGAAAACTAAAAATACTGGGAAAATTCACTCTGGTCGTTTTTTATCCGTTTTTATGAAGACTGGAATTCCACGTGCTATTTAGTTTGTAGGGCAGCCAGAGGCGCGCGTTGTCCTCGCGCTCCAAAACCAATAAAGGTAACGGATGGGGTTCTGTGCAGAAATGAATGCTATAACCCTGTTTTCTGAAACTGAAATCGATCAGGTACAAAAGAAGTTGCACTTGAATCTCGCCTCAGTGTCCCGGCTGCGGTATTGCAGCTGCCTGTCCGCACTGTGCACATGGTTACTCTTGGGACTCGCTTGGTTTGCAAGTCCGACCAGACAAGAAAATAGACTCTAGTGAGTTGGATACACTACACAGTCGTTCTACAGTTCTGTTCACACCCAAACCCCAGACTGTCTTAACCCAGTGGATAATTTTTGTGTGTTTTGCACGTACTGTATGGTTTGCAATCCGCAGGTAAAATTGTCGCAGATCTTTCTTTGAAAGACCAGGCGAAAGCTACAGTACGAACAGCGACATGTGATCGATACAGTAGGTGTTTATGATCACGATCATCTTCTCTTGTGAACTAACGGAGACCATGGGGATGTGGCACAGTTGCTGAAAGTAGCACCTGCGATTCGCGTGTTGCGGGGTAGTCGAGGTGAAATTAAAAAAAAAGCTCCCTTTTGAATACCGAAAATGAAATAAATTACTTTTCAGTAAAATTAACGACCGGAAAACCCGTTACATAACGTCAAACAGGACTTAACTTTCAAAAATGAACTTGCCTGACTTCCTTGAACTGACCTTAGCGTGATCCCTGCTGATCAGTGGTCCGCCTGAGCTGTCGTTTGAAGTCAGGTCCTTGAAGAACGACAGTAGAGAGTTTGGCAGCTTGGTGACATTAATATTACGAATTTCAACCCTGAAGTTGTGGCACAGCATGCATTTAGCAAGTTCCGGTTCATATGTGTAGCAGGATCTTTCAGTTGATGACTAACGTTCCAAATAGTTATCATACATT